TATTCTGTTCGACTTTCATCATCAAAATCAGGAACATGATGACTACGGTTTTCAGCTTAACTGCTTCACTGTCGCACAACCATGATTCATTTGAAAGCCTTATTGTGAAAAGAATGAAAGGTGGACAGGGAACGGGCTCAGTGTTGGCTCACCACAATCATCCAGAGCTGCCTACACCTCCAGATATTCACTCGGGCAATCTGGATAGAAACTGACAAGAACGCCACCGACATCCGTTGGGATCCATATCTTGTAGTGTCTTCAAACCAGGCGCAGTGGGGATCACGCGGTCTTTATCCTAGAAGGCGAGTAGCACCGAGAGCACCCAAGCGTTTCGTGATCTCCTTCATACTCCTTTGCCAAGTGTTGGCCGCCTCTCGGCTTACGCCACTCTGAATTGGGTATGAAAAACAGCACTCTCTTCGGTAAACAATGATCAAACATACGCAGCTACTCTACTTCTCAAAGAAGAGTAGAAAGCGCAAAATATACCGGAAAACCTGACCAAAATCATCCAGTCCTGCGGTGTGTTTCGCAATTACAACTGAGACGTCACGCTGCGAGGCGTAGGCTTTGAACATGCCTCTAGGTATCCAGAGTGACACGCGAGGCTGTGAAACCCCACACATCTGACAGGTTGCGTTAGCTCCAGCGGCAGCGAGACGAAATAAGCGGACGAATCTTAAAGGCCAGAATTGCAAATACCATTTTGCGCTACTTGTGGCATCGGAAGAACGTACCGCCGGGTTTCAAAAAACGCATGTATAGCGCAAGCTGCATTGCTTTACGGCTGCGAGACTTAACAGACTTGAGTGGGGTGGGGTGGCGGGATGGGACACTTTTCAGGGTTTTGACTATCGATATCCCGTAGTTATAGCTGGAATCTGTTGGAACCATAGAATTCGCAACTGAATGATCAACAAACTTGCCTACGGTGAAACAGATGGTATTAAACTCAAAAGATTCACCTACCACTGCGAGCTAAGAAGGCTAGGCCGTGTTACGCATGCCAAATTACCACCTACCGAGACCGACTGGCGCGAACATACGGGTGGACCAAACGACATGGTGGAAGGGAATGAAGGATGTTACGAAAAGCCTGGATGTTGTTGGCACTGTTCGCCTCCTAGGATGAGGTCAACTGACCCTTGGCTCGAGATACAAAACGCTATGGCTGCTAACCAATGTTAATGGGAATAATGCTATCAGTTCGGACCTAAGTGGTGTAGTGCCGTCCACAGTGGTGGTGATAGCGCTGCAGCTTCGTTAGCACATCCTACCATAGCGGACGGTCAACTCGCTTGGACATGTCCAACATGACCTCTCGCGGACACCATAGTGATGCACGATAGAGGCAGTTGCGCAAACAGTGTATTCGGTTTGTAATCATGACGGCAGCCAGTGGCAATAATCTTGGAAAATTTAGCCACCTCTGGGCGTCGGTGGCCATGTGATTACCAGTTTCTTGTATGCAGAGTTTGAACGCGATGAAGCATTCACCGCGCTTCGGAACTGCATCACTCTATCTACCTGACTAAATACGCACAACTGCACGATTAGTCAGGAAAGATGACCCCGAAAACCAGGGACAATCAGGAGGCATGCGATACTGACAACGAAGTGATGATGCGATACAACGGAAAGGCCTTACGGCTTTTCAGTGGAATACTCCAGTAGAATATCCAATGGACAGTGAAAAATTTGGATGTGGCACAGCAAGACAGAATGACAGGTTATGACACTGCAATTGTTTTCAAGTGTTTGTTTCGGTTACACTCTGTATGTGCCCAAGACGCAACGGTTTTGTTGTGCGACCTCCGGTGACTTACGCGGTTTCCACACGAACCCGCTGCGGGAGCGGGACCAGCACGACAACAAGACAAGTTCCCGCACCGGGCTGTGAATGTGGTACAGTAAAACAAAACCAGGAAAAGCAGAACATACGCAATGATCCCTTCAATGACTTGCACTTGCATTTAAGCTGGCGGCAAATATCTGTGTTGTCTGTAGTAAGCGGACGGTTCTCCAGAAACGGCATTGGTGACTGGCCTTCTGAGAGAATTAAGTTCCGCACACGTAACCTTCTGCTGCCAAAGTACTGATAACAGGGATTGGAGAACACCGTCGTAACGCACAGTCAAATATGACATGTATGAAATCAATCCCTTTACTAATTATGAATCTTACTTTGAGAGGTTCGACCGAAGGTACTGTGGACGCATTCATCTGTCGGGCAACGGGAACAGCCGGTTACAGGAACCGGCTCACGTACGTTCCATATGCCATTATTCTCGAAGCGCCTTTACGCGAAATATGAACGAATTTTTGGGCGCAGTGATGATTACCTGAGATGAAAAATTCTCGTTTAGAATTTTTGTGCACCAAGCATAAAGCATATCAGAGTAGACAACTTGGTTGGCGTATTCCGGGAGTGGTGGGACGTAGGCCCCATAGAGTATTTGGAAAACCGTGCAAGTAATACGGGGGAAGGTGTGCCGACTCATCCGTAAAATGGCGAACGCATTTTGGGCCAATTTCCCATGGTGCAGTGAAGAGGACAATTTTGAGGACGGTCAGATGCCAAAATCCCTTTTGGCATCTAGCCTTATGATGACGTGTGAATTTTTCTCACCATGCATGACATAGCCGTTCGCCTAGTCTTCTTTAAATGACATACGGGCGCACTTTTCGTTATTCAGAGGAAGGTGCCAGTCCAACGACTACTGCTTGGCAGCGTCTACATCCATTTTGAGGGCACTGGCATTGGAACTCCAGGATTTCTATTCGTCCGAAAAAAAGTAGACACGGACCTGCAAGAAGGTCTGGAAGGTCGTTGACGTGGATCAGAAAAACAGGAGTGGTCCCAAGACAGAGCCTTGAGGAACTCCAATGGAGACTGAGGCTGGGGAAGAGCAGTTCGAGCCTATTCTCACTCTGAGTGATCTGATAGGAACGCCTGGATCCAGCGAAGGATTTTCCCTTGAATCCTGTAAGACTCGAGTTTTGGAGCAGCGGGACGTGTGGGATCCTATCGAAGGCTTTGGAGAAGTCGAAAAATATGGCATCCGATATGAGTCCTTCGTCCTTGGCTTGGGTTAAGCTGTCCATAAACACGAGCATGTTTGTCACCGGTTTGGGAGAAATCCGTGTTGAGCTGGAGATGTCAGATTACTGGAAGTAAGGTGATCTAGGATAGCTCGCTTCAGAATGCGTTCCAACACCTTGCACGGCACGCTAGTGAGGCTTATAGGCCTGTGGCTGCCAGGCGATAGTTGGTCACCAGTTTTGCAGATTGGCGTGACAATCGCTTCCTTCCAAGCAGAGGGAAAACGGCTTTCGTTAGGCGACTAACGCAACGCCAGGTGTAAATGAGTTGCCAGTGTGGAGGACGTTTCTTGGATGGAGCTTGTCGAGCTCCAACGCGCAGAATGGGTTGATCTTGTGCAAGAGCTGACGAATGTCCATCGTGAAGACCAAGTCGGTTAGAGGATGTTCGTAGTTCCGCCTTGACAAGAGTGGATGTAACGAGGACGCTCGGGCTGAGTATAGACACGCAGTGTTGTCTGTAAGCCTCAGATACCACTGTTGGGTCACTCGTGGGTTCACCGATATTGTCCCTCAAGAAGAACGCGGGTGGCTTGTTTCTTCGGCGATGCCTCATGCATTTGAACAAGACGTTTTTGTTTTTCCAGTGAGGTCCAGGATGGTGGATTGTTTTCGTATGTTACATTGGCGGATTTCTGATTTACAGCGGTTCCGCATTTCACGAAATGCCAGCTCATCTTCTGTATCCCCCGAAGTCGACTTTTTGAAAAAGGTTAGAACCTCTCTTACATAAGTCGCCGAATCCTTTTTGGCAGCCTGCGGCTCATACGAGTGCGTGCTGCTTTTCGGGACGAACGTCGCGTCAGCCTCGCGAACTTTCTGGACAATGGTCCTATACATTTCTTCCACTGAAATTGGTCCCCGTGTGACTTCTTCAAGGAAACTGCGCATTCCTGAGAAGTCTGCACTGCAGAAATCTCTAAACCACGTTTGAGGTTCGGGATTTCTGGCCAAATAGCAGATAAAATCAAAAATCAGCACCCAGTGGTCGCTATGTCCCAGTTGAGCGTTAACTTGTACCTGATCAACGAAGTGTCTTTCGTTGGTGATGACCAAATCCAGGAGGGTTGGTAGTTGGCTTGCGCGGTATCTGGTGGGTGCAACGACATCTTGAGTCCAAGCGCTCTGTTGGAGGACTCCAATCAGCGCGGCTGAAAAAAGTCCGCTCGATTCGACGCACTGGAGCTTATTAGTGCACAGGTGGTGATAGCCATAATGCAAATCAGGTGTATGTGCACTAATAGAAGTTTTTGTATGGTTGCGACACGTATAAAAATAAATACAGTACGAGAATGGGAGCAAGTCAAAAAGGAACTTATCTTATGTGAGAGTCTCTTGGTAGAAGCCCGGACGGTGGGAAGGTGTTTTCTTCGCAGTGTGGCTGCTACACGTGTTCCATGATTTTCCGTGGACTTGGAGTGCTTGGGCTGACTCCTTGCTCCCTGCGCGCGCGCAAGTCTGTGTACTGACTAGGTTCGGTTTATCTTTGTGTAGGTCCCAGTGCGTATGCGTGGGCGCGTCGGCACATGAGTGGTTGCTACGCTGACAAGGCGGTGCAGACAATCGATGTCCGATGGGTCAGCTTAATGCGATGTGTTTGTGCGTATGAGGAAAAAGACATGCCTCGCGATCCAGTGAGCGACTATGAGTTGAACAGTCAAGTATATGGGTGACTGGGTTGATACAAGCTCCATCCAGGAGGCCTCTGAGGCGTTGAAGCCACCTAACATCAGGAGATGAGTGAAGTGGTAGTTGGAGAGTTGCTCAAGAGTTCGTACGTGGAATAGGTCATCTTCAGGGGGACTCGAAGGGCTACGGTAGACCACACCGAGAAGGAGAGAATCGGACTGACGCAGAGTGATTTAGACTCGCGATGCATTACAAATGGTGCAGGAATGGTGTCAGAAAGGACAATCGCGATTGGTAGGGCCGCATGTAAGTACAGAGCGATCCCACCAGCCCCCCCTCGTTTTGAGTCAGCTCGAAAAATAGAGCAATTGTCTATCGAGATCTCCGCGCCAGAGACAT